AGCTCTCCCATTTCCAGAATCCATTTTCTTCTTGCATGGGTCGCATATCCAGGGCAGAGATGATTTCTCCAGTCTCTTAAATGTTGTCGTGCTCATGTTTAGGCACAATTTGTGAGACCACATCTCACATTCCTCACAGTTGAGAGCGTCCTCGTCATCCCGAACTGGTACACGACAGATATCACAATTTTCTGACATATTACTTGCTTACTTGCCCTCGTATGTTTATTGATAACTAAATACAATCAGATCTTTACTTACAAGATGTAGAATTCTTCAACACCGAAGAACGGCAACAATGTGCGCTGCTAACCGTGCTGCTGAAAAAACCCTTTGATGTGTACCATGAAGGTTTTGCATAAAAAGATTTGCTTTTATTTTTTACCGCAACACTCAACCACGATTAGTACTTTGAACACAATTTTTTTTCTTTATAGATCAATACTTATCCAAATATTACGATATTTAAGATAGCACAATAACAAATGATCTGCCCCTGTTGCCAGTTGAGCTACGAGCTTTCAACACCAGTGTCATAAAATGGCATTTTAGACACTGACAGCATCCGTTAAAAATGACACTTTTAGTGACGTTTGTAGAAAAAAATAATTTTCCAGCATTCCGATATTATCATAATAATAAAAGCGATGGCCGACTCATCAATTAAATATCACTATTTGCAAGAATCTGTCTAGCAGAAAAATACAAAGGTACCAAACCCACCCAACCCGACCCAAGATACCCCAGCATTTCTCTGACATAGGTATGGCAATGGCATAACAATGCGGCACATCAAACATATCTTTGATGACCTGCTATGTTGAATATTCTTTAAGTGTTTAGATCACAAATTTATATTAACTTATGCTTTGATTTGCGGCCATCGCTTTTATTATTATGATAATATCAGAATGCTGGAAAATTATTTTTTAATTTTTAGTGCATTTTATAAAAGCTTGTGACTTAAAAATTTTTTTTTACCAATTTATTTTCTACTTTTTAGTCTCAGCTATCTACCCTATTAAATGAAAATATTTGTTCAAAAAGTTTATGAACTCTTAGTTTATTTGGAAACTCATTTTTCTATTGGGGCGGGGGGGAGGGTGGGGGTAGAGGTAGAAATATATTTTTTGTTTGGGCTGTATTGCCATCGGACCTTTATGCAAATACCAAATTTTATAAAAGTCATTTGCAGTGAAGTGTGTCAAAAACGCATTTTTCTATGGAAGGGGGTGGGGGTAGGGGTAGGAGGCCATTTTTTTCTTATTGTTGTATTGTCATCGGACTACTATATGTATACCAAATTTCATCGAAATCATATAATGGGAAGTGTGTCAAAAACGCATTTTTCTATGGAAGGGGGTGGGGGTAGGGGTGGGAGGATATTCTTTTCCTAATATTGTATTGTCATCGGATCACTATATGTATACCAAATTTCATCCAAATCGGATAACGTAGGGTGACCATACGTATAGTATTTCGCTGTATTGTACAGCATTTTGAAAGTCTGTCTAGCATCCGATTTTGTACAGCAAACGTACAGCGATCAGTGGCGACGCGTGACTTGCAGTCTGGGGGGGGGGGGGGGGTAATGGGAAGATGCGAGTGATGCGACCCCCGCTAACGCGCCGCAGGCAAAATTTTTTGCCAATTTCAAGGTCATTCACTTCTCCAGAACAATAATTTCCTTTGTGAGGAAAATAAAACAAAAAAAAAATGTATTTTCTTTAATATTGTCACGAAACGTCTCTGCTTCGCTATGTAGCTCAACTATTCACCCTGAAAAGCAGAACGGGAAGGGAGGAGTAACAGGGAAACACCAGAACAGTTTCAAATAGCTAATATATATTGTTACAGGACGGAGATTTCGGAAACATGGAATATTTAGTTATTACCACATCATCGTCATCTGGGACCAGATAACGTCCCTTCGGGTGGTGAGGCTCAAAAAAGGGGGCGGACAGTCAAACGTCGGGTATACCCCTGCAAAGCTAAACCACCAAACCAGGCCTACAGGAAAATCTAGAAAGCCTTTTCACTGTAGGTCAAAGCCTGGGTCGTCAGAGAGTATCTGCCCTGATAGAGATACGATAGCGTATTAACTTTATCAGTCCAGATAGTTCCCCAATTTTGAGTCGTCTCTAAACACCTACTGATTGCAGCGAAGTGCTGAGGACACGACTAATTTGCCATAGTGTGGCCCGGGCTTTTATATCCAATATTTGCTGACTATGATTAGGATAATTTGTGTTTTCTTGCTTAGTTGCAGTTATTTGTTATAACCCGTGGTTCAGTGTTTTGAATTTGGTTATAGCCCGTGATCCCATGTAGGGTTGACACATGCCCCTCCCGATGAAGGCATTGGCCCCACAATGTCCGAGGAGACGTATCTGGCTTCAAAAACTTTTAAAAAAATACAAAAACTTTAAATAAAACTTAAAACTACATTATTCTTCATCTTTGGCCGTCTTCTTATTTGTGATTGGTTCTTTATACGTGTCCATTCTTCCATGGCTTCGAACACTAGAACAGGTGTCTGTGGTTTGCTTCTACTTCGTTGGTGATTCTCTGGGGTTTGGTGGTTCCACGGCTTGTTTGCCTGGATCACTCTTGTAGATGTTCTGGCTTTGCTTTCATGTCAGTGGTCTCCTTGTGTTCTGACAACGTCTTCTGCTGTGTTGCCTAGGCTTATTGGCTCAGACTTTGACTGAAGGTAGTGGATCTATGTTGTGGGTCTAGGCTAGCAATTGGCCCTAGGTTGGTCTTGTAGATGTCGTGGTCTTGGTCCAAACAATTGTTCTTGTAGATGTTCTGACAACGTTTCACGCACGGTTTTTGAGATATTTTTTATTTTTATTTTTAGAAATTCACTTTTTTGGGAGGTAAATATTTAAAATTAACGAAATAATAAGGAACATACCTTATTTAAGTAAATGTTAACACCAATATTTGATAACATTTCCATTGTAACACTTGGTATTAAAAACACATCGAGTAATTTTTCTTCATATTGGTTACTCTTACAAATAAAAACTTATTTATTTAATAATAAACCAAAAGGACTAATTCTGAAATAATGTGGCCTTATTCTGAAGGACAATTATATCGAGAACTTTTATTATTAATTTGTACGTTTGATGTAATACTATGAAATTTTCGAAATTTTCAAGTATAAAGTAACCATTAGTTTGTAACTTGACAAGGAAAGTTAAGTTTTAAACCGAAATAATTTAATAGTTAATATTATTTTCTCAATAATTTTCAATGCTAATATTTGTGTAAGTGTGTCAGCTTATAATTTAAAACGCGACATTTAATATGGCTTTTATTATTTTCCTTAATTTTAAATATTTACCGGACAAACGAGCAAATTTCTTGGAAATTAAAAAAGAATGAATATCTCAAAAACTGTTGAGAATGGTATAGAGGTAAATGATGTTTAATCGGTAGCAAATGGGCTCTACTTTTCACCTCCTCAAAGGAATACGTCTACTTACCAGTCACCCTGTATAATTGGTAAAATTGGTAAAAAGATTGGTTTTTTGTGTCGTTTGAGGTACAAACTATCAGTGCATACAAAGAGGTTAACATTTAATAGTAATAATAAAGCCACATTTTGATTACTGTGGATCCTTGCTTTTTTTTGGAAATAAGGACTGATGTGGATAAATTACAAGTGCTTCAGAATAGAGCAATGAGAGCAATTTTAAATCGCGATCATTATGAACCAATTAAAAATATGTTAACTTCTTTAAATTGGCTTGACGTTAATTGTAGTTTCAAATATTAACTTTTGCTTTTCATTTATAAGATAGAACATGCACTGCAGCCTCCATATTTACAAGATCTCTTACAAAGAAATAATGAAATTCATAGTTGTCATACAAGAAATCAGTACAATTTTCATCCATGTACAATAGAAAATTATTCAACCTCCTTTGGTTTATTTGATATGGGTTTGTCATTGTATAACTTGCTGGCCTAACGAGTTGAAAACTGGGTCCTTAAATAAAACAAAAAAAGCATTAAAAGAATATATTATGAATGAATCAAAATAAAGTTCCTTGTGTTGGTTGTTATTTGTGATAACACAGAGCCTATACCTATTTAGATTTTAGATTTAGTTTTAAGTAATTTTTTGTAACAAATTGTTGTATTCAATGGGTTTTCCAAATAAACGATTTATTATTATTATTAGTATTAAAACATTTTTGAAACGCTCATTTTCGACGTCTATATGACGTTTTGAAATGACATTTGCACCAAATAAAAATGCACCTTTGGAGATTCTCAGTTACTTTTACTGATGTTTTTAAAACGTTCTGACGTCCGATAGGATAATTTTTTTGAAACGTTTCTGTGCTATTAGGGTATCTACATAATGTATCTGTTGATTGTTGCCAAGAGCTTGGATTGGTTGACTCTTACTTTGTTTATTTTGTTTCTTGTTTTCTTATGTTAGTTTTTTTTTTTTGTGGTTACCTAAGTTACATAATATAGTATGTGGTTTTATTGCTATGATGCTATGCCTTACTGTTTCGTGTAATTATTTTTTGTTTCTACAATTCAAGATCTCTCACATTTTCCCTAAGCGGGCCATGGGATGGGGCGGCAAATTTACTCATTGCCCAGGGCGGCAAAATACCTAGAGCCGGCCCTGATACTGAATTGGAGTTCTCACGGGATATAACTCATACAAATAAGTGGAAGTGTTGGTTTCGGGTTTTCTTTTTTAATTTAGCTTATTTGGAATTCCATTCTTTACACAGATTGTTCGTTAAACTATTGTATAGGGGGAGCAAAATTTGTATTATGTTTATCAAATTATGGTAAAAATCACTCAAGTTTTCTGTGTTAGATCTAAAGTTTATATTTGAATCATTTCATGAATTATTTTTTTAGGAAAAATCAACTTATCAGCAAAGTAATTCAAGAGCACATTATATAATGTGTAATTCATATGGGACATTTTTAGAATTTTCAAACGATTTCTTTTTTAGTAAACGCGATGTCCTTGATGCAATGGCTCGACAAAATTAAAGGCTTTCCGTTCAATTTCTGGTACGTCGACAACTACATGTACATAATCAAAGACGCCAAGGAAGCCAAAATCATCATGAACCATCCGAAATGTGTCAACAAAGCAGTGTTCTACGATAGGTTTAAGTTTGTTTTCGAAAATTCCATTTTTTTAGTGCCTAGTAAGTTCATGAAACTTTGGTTTAAATCCTCAACAATGCGGCTTTATTTCAGATAAAAAATGGAAAAAACAACGTAAACATTTTGTAACGGGCTTCAAATCAAACATTTTGAAGAACACCGTTTACGTTTACCATAATCTCAGTTGTCAAATGATTGAAGATCTAAAATCTGTTGAAATGCCTAAAGATATCTTTCGGTATTTTCAAAGGTACTCTATTCGAAGCTTTTTTGGTAAGTACTATCAATTTGGGTTACAAAAAATTCTTGAATTGTAAAAATTTTGTAATTTTAGTGGGCAATACAGGCATAAGCGAATACCTATCTTCATTTGAAATGGAAAAAGTGGGCGATATCGTATTGGAGTGAGCATCTCATCATTTTATTTATCGATTTATTGTTTTTCCAAATTTAACAGTGTCCAGGATCTTCTTTACTCGTTGGTCGTTATGCCATTTCTCAGTCCCAAATTGTGGCTGGCGATTTTTCCTGCCGGTAAAAAGGTCACAAAGTTGCTTGAAAAATCTACAGAAATCGTCATATATGGAATCGCACAAAAGAAAAAGTTGCTTCAAGAAAATCAAGGTACCTACCTAAACTTATGTGAACAGCCCCAAAACTAATTTTTTGTTTGTTTTTAGAATATTTTGGAAATAGCAAGGATCTTTTGGAACTATGTTTAGGTAACGGCGCAGACAATTTGGATCAAGATGAGATCATCCAACAAGTGAATTTTGTTGCTTCAGCTGTAAGTTTTTAATTACCATCGTTGAAATACCAATACCTGGTATGTACCTGGTATGGAACCCTCGTAGGGCTTCGTAGTTATAGTTTAGGAGGCAGTGACGATTTTCGGTTCTTATTTTTCCAGTCAAACAGCATGAATAAAATTGTAGGGTTAGTAATTCTAAGCAAAATTCATATATATTTAGGGGGGTTAACCGATAGATTAAAGCGCAAAACGAGTTAGAGCTTACGAATGCACGGCCTTTTTTTTTCAGTGATAAAAATAAGTCTACTAATGAGAAGTATATTGAAGTTACGTAAAAAAATAGTTCGGCTAATCTGTGAGTATGGATAATACGTCTGGCCAATGAAAAATTGAAGATCCGAAACTCACTTTCCCCTATCTGAGATAAGCCAAATTGCAATTTTCATAAACTTTATGTACTATCGTAGTAAATGTGAATTATTTATGACTGGAAAATAAATGAACTTGTATTTTTCATTGATCTTGTGAATCCATCCGAAAATTTTAGCCAGACTTAAAAATTCTTGTTCTGTATCACCAAATGAACAAACTATTCAATATACACCAACTAGGAAAATAAGTGCTAAAAAATTTCACTGCCTTCGTAGTTATGTTTGTATATCTGAAAAATTCTCATTTCAAATTTCGCATTTGTGATACAACAAATATACAATTTCAGGCAAGCGAAACCACAGGAAATGCGCTTGTTTTCACTTTTGTATTATTGAGCATTCATCAAGAAATACAGGTCAGTAATATTTTACTCGTAAGTCGTATTTCAATCCAGTTATACATTTCTTTAAATTATTTTTAGGAAAAAGTATATGAGGAAGTGATGGAAGTAGTGGGCGATAAAGATATAACGCATCAAGATTTGCCAAATTTGAAATACACTGAAGCCGCAATATACGAATCTTTGAGATTATTTCCAGTAGCGCCGATTATAGGAAGAAGCTGTGAAGAAGACATTGATTTAGGCAAGCTTGTTCAAAAGATTTTTACACTCGTCACAAAAAGTATCGCATAAATAGATTGTGACTAGAAGTTTTATTATTATCTCTTAATTTTTTTTTTGTAAATGGCAGGTAATGAAACTCAAGAATGTTTAACAGTGGTTTGTTTAATTAAAATTAATAATTTAAGTATAACAGGGAAAATTTTTGAAAATAACAAGTATTCAAGAAAAATTAAAGAATCCAAATTAACAAAATAAAAAATTCCAAGGAAAATGGTTTTGCCACCTCTGGTTCTAATAACATCTCTCATTCTCCGTGGAAGGCTTCTTATCAGAGTCCTTACATACTCCATATCTAAATTTTCCCATTCTTCTCTCAAAGCATTTTCTAGCTCATCAAGGTTATCTGGTGCAATATTACGAGCTCTTATGCGCCTTTCTAGGAAATCCCAAACATGTTTAATTGGGTTTAGATCTGAATTAACTGCTAGCCAATCTAAAACTTGAATACAAACATCTTCAAGGTATTGCATTGTCATTCTGGCAGCGTGCGGGCGAGCGTTGCCTTGCATAAGAACAAAATTGTTTCCAATAATTGGAACAAACGGCACTACATTTTCTTGAAGAACTTTCCGTATATACCGATCAGCTGTTAGAGATCCCCTACGAAACACAGTTAACTCTGTGTGACCTTGAAAGCAGATGCTTCCCCATATCATATTTGAGCCACCTCCAAAATTTCTGGCTGCTCTTGGAAAAATCGCTCACCTGCGCGTCTATAAACTAGAATACGTCTATCGGATCCGAAAAGTGCATATCTCGACTCATTTGTAAAAAGCCCAGTTGTTAATATCCCAATTAACATATTCTCTTACGAACCCTTAAACGTGCTACACGGTGTGCCCTGGTCAACAATGGAGCAGTAACAGGCATTCTAGCTCTAATTTCAAATTCTCTCAATCTGTTTCTAACCGAATTAACCGATATTCGGACATTACGGACCCTGGAGAGAACATTTTGCAGTTGCCTGGCTGCAGAGCCGTAACTAGACCTGTTTGCGCCTGTGGCAGGTTATTAATTTGCACCTCCGTCCCATGTCCAAAGTCAAAAAATTCCTGATTTTCTAAAGGGGTGTGACCCAAAAGTAAAAGTTTTATTGCAAAAAAATCTCAAAACAAATATTTAAACCGCATCTTGCTTCAATGAACTGTTTTCGAGTTATGACGGTTCAAAGTGATGAACGTCTAAGCTGTGACGTCACCTCGGCTTCGGAGGCACAGTTAAAACACGTGTAAAAATTTCCAAAAAAGCACTTAGAGCAACTTGCAACCACTTGAAGTATAGGGCACAGTTCACTGACGAGTGACGAATGAACAAACACAAGGCTACGATATCGGCGGTAAGCCGGTGTGATGTCACAAGTATCCGCAAAATTTATCTTCACAAAAGATTTTCTCGGATACGGTTTTAAATATAAGACTGCGGTTTTCACGAGAAATCTTAGATTTTTGTTTTCTTGATTCAAGTAGCTTAAGTTGTTTTTTTGGGTTACAGCCTTTTTGAATTTTATATTTAAACAAGAAAAGTAATAATAAAAAATAAGTAGAATCGAATTATCGATTGGAAGTATGTATACATTTATAAATTTCTCCTGTTCTACAGTGGAACTAGAATATGACATTGTCCATTGATTATATTGTCACAGGACTCGTTCGGTCTTCGCTGTGTAGCTCTTGCGACCACCCTGAAAAGGGTGAGTAGGAAGGGGATAACTGCTTAACTAAAAGTATATTTTGAGTAGACAGAATATGTATTACCACAACAATGTATGAAGATGCGCTGCTTTGGTTTATAGTCTCTGCTGATCCCAAGAAGGAGTAAAGACGTTGAATCTCTGACACCCTTGATCCTTACTCACTGTAGTTTCCTGAACACAGATTATATTTTAATCTGGAAACCAGATGCAACTAGGAAATCAAGCCCGCACTACAATGGAAGAGAGAGCCTGCATACCGTAGCGCAGAGCTTGGATCGTTATATAGGTGAAGAATCTGCTCGAACAGAGTTACGATACCCACATTCCACATCCCGGTCCGATCAGATAGATACCTATTTGAGCCGTGTGTCTAGCTCTGACTAATACAGCTACGTAGCCAGACACGTCTGTCTTACGATGGGTTTGTTAGCCGTATTTATATATTGCTGAGTGCCTATAATAAGGTCGTTTAATCAGAATGTGTTTTCCTGCTGAGTTGCATTTTAATGTTATAATCCCTGGTCTGGTGTTGTAACGCTCTTTTGTCGAAACAAAAGAATGTTCATAATTTGTGCTCGACTTATTGCTCAATGGTTGTTTAGCTTGGGGTGGTCCTTGGTGTTGGTACAGTAGAGAGAGGGCGCCACTAGTTTGTATAAATTATTTTGATTACCAAGGAATAGCCAAACTAGGCACTATTCCACTAATTAGTTATTGTTTAAAAAGATAAATTCAAAAAAAATCTGAAAAGGTAAAATAAATCCAAAATCCAATAGCTATCTGACATTTAACCCATTCAATAAAAGCTTTGGAATTCTAAACACAATTATTTATTAATTAAATGTCATTAAACATTTGTGACAAGATGGCGAACTTTTTTTTCTTTGGTTCGAAGGAAATTATTGTCTATTATCCAAGTTTTAAAAAAAAAAATCATTAAGCAGCTTTCTAAAAGCAAAACTTAATATAAGTATAATAAGATCGAAATTCAAAAATAATCAATAGATACCCATGATGAAATTTACCTAAGAATAAATGATGAAGTCCTAATACCATTAACCTTCAATTTTTGACTAAAGTCAATCAAATCAATAAAATCAAATTTATAAATGCATAATGGTAATAAGTAATCCCTAGGGAGTTATAAATGCCGTCTTACCTGTAATTAAAATTCGAAATATGTAACCATGAAACTCAAATTCAACTACCTAAAGATTTTACATTGGTTTACCTTGTAGAATTACCACCTTATTGATTTGAAATTAAAGGTTAAATTAACCCCTAAAAGTTAATTAATATCGATCGGTATTCGATATAAAAGAAATAAATTTGTAATAATTATAATGATCCATAATTATTGGCTACTAGATAAAGATAACGAAAACGATAATTAAGGTAGTTATCTGATTACGATAATCATTAATTAATCAATAAAAAATTACATTAAACTGTAATTAGCTATTTTAGCCAAATACTACAATACGGTAAATAAGTCGGTAATTAATATTTACAAAGATATTAATTAGCTAATCAAGCTAATCAAGCTAATCAATAGTGAGCGATAAAGAAAAAGATTATAATAATTAACAGTTATTAATATGTGTAAAGATAATTATTAGCTAATAAAGCTAATCGATAGGAAGCGGTAGAAAAAAGATAATATAAGGTAACAGTAATTAATAAGGCACAGTTACATAGGTAAGTAATTATACAAGCCTGGACGAAATCCTTGGAAATTTTCATAAATTTAAGATCCAGAAGCAACAAACTGACGGAAGGCAATCAAACAATGGTCGGGGATCAATCTCTTACAGGACACAACTTTCCTTGTAGAGGGGGCCCAGACTTGCTTTGGAAATGCAGTACCGCATGGTCTCAAACTTGTCAAATTTTCACCCAGAAGTGTAGGCGTGGATTTTTGATACTCTCCCAAATTGCCTGAACGGAATGAAAAAATATAATGACTCATTTATCAAAGAGAAAAGGGATTTACATACCTGAACGGCCGATAATTAACGTCACTTTCAAAAATTTACACCAAAATCAACAATCTATTGATTTTTCAGGAAACGTTCCAGCTGACATAATAACTCACTACTCTGGCTAGTTAAATTTATATAATTTTGGGCTCAATGGCCAAGAATGAAAACCAAAGTTTTTGGATTTTCCAGAGACGACCTTTAGAGTCTAACTATAAAATCGAAAAGAAAAGTCCAAAGTACCCCTGTGGTTCTGTCTTTCTTCCTCTGTCCAGCCTGTCGAAATGATAAAAATGATGGCGCTACCGGTTTTCAAAAAAAAATAACCCTAGTTAGATTCGGAGTTGGAGTAGAGTAAACAAAACTAATGGAGTCTCCCCTCTCCCCCAATATGGTAAAAAGCAGTACCCGAACAGCTGAAGTGCGAACGAAGTCACTCGAAGTGTACGGAGTGAGCAAGTGGAACGCATCTCTCAATACGGCATTCCAACAAAAAAAAAACAAACAGGGCACACAATAGATTGTGTCACCCAATTGTCACATGTGTCACATAATCTAAAAATTATTTTATGAACTCAAATAAGTTCATTTTTTGTGTGATTTAAGGTGAATTTAAGTATGGCTGACTACTCGATAAAATTGTAACGCGAAAATCCTGATATAGCTGTGCGTTACAAGCAAAAAATTGCGGCTATAAACAGTGTTGAGTGTTGATCAGTTTCGTTTAGTAGGCTACAAATATTTTGAAGCTGGATTCGTTATATTCGTAACATTGTATTATTGTATTGTAGGTATATCTCGAACAAACTACAGCATATTTAATTTACTGCCAGTTAAATCTCCACGTCTGATTGCATTTAACCAGCGATGTTTTCTAATTTTCGATAATTCATTTTGTTGAACTTTATCGGGATGTTTTCTATTATTCAGCTCCGATGGTATTTTAAAAAATTTCACGATGTCGCGTTCTCTTCTACTACTACAATCCACTACACGCAACAAAATCCAGGAATTTCACCAACATTTTTTAGCACTTAACATTTGCCTGCCCTGACTAACTTTTGACAAACGCCATTTTTGACAGATCGTTGGAATGCCCTATAACATAATTTTCGTTATTAGGTTAGGAAACTAGACAGAAAAATCATAGATGTCGCCAGGTGTACGGAATAGTATTTTAAACTTAGAGCTGGTAAAGACATAAGGAGTAGGAACGCGCTAGCTCTAAGATTTTAAATGAGTCCAAAATATATGAAATTAATTGAGAACAATTAAATTCTTGTGTCATTTCAAATGTTACAATGTATTGAAATAAGGTTGACAATATAAGCCTAAGCTCTTCTGAAAAATGAAATGAAAAACAAATAGGACCTACGTTGTGGAAACTTACTCAATTTTACTTACTGGATATGCGCCCAACATAGTAAATATTTGGGAAATTTAAGGGAAGTTGTGATATGTAAAAGAAACGAAAAATTTGTGGAACGTCTCCTTTATTTTCGAAGAAAAACGTATCGTTCTCGACCTAGAATTCTCGAGGGGAAAGAGAACGGCAGAGAAACCCTCGATCTAACATTCCTCAAAAACCGAAACATACTGTGTAATTTTAATAATAATACATGTGAGTCAATAATTCAATAAAAGTTGAAACTAGGTACCGCCCCTGTTCTTGTGCTAAAATTTTAATTACACACACACTACATTTAATCAACACTACCTATAATTAATACTGAAAAGTTTTTGTTAGTTAGCCAGATTCCCAGCAGGTACCGAGGTCCCATACGGGAAACTACTCAGCTATAATTGTTTTTGAGCCAATATCTCTAAATTGATTATTTCAATTTGTTAGGATATTCTCTCGTCAGGGTAGGAAAATGTTAGTAAATTCAACAAGGTCCTAATGTACGCTCTGAATACACAAAATCGAAATCTCAGCACAAAAAGAGAGCACATAATTTCTCAGGTTTTAATTTACTCCTTATCTGTGTTGTTTACAGCATGAAACGATTTTGGTTAAATACATAGATAAACAATGCACATGTTATAAAAAATGTTATAAACAAACAAAAAAACATAAAAATGGAAAAAATGATACTTGTATAAGTAATTGAACTCTCAAAAACAAAATAACAATTATTCAACTAACCTGTGAACGCTCCTTACACACACACTAATAACAAATTGGATTGAACAATCAATTTTAATGTAAAATAAAAATGAAGATTGAATAATGAATAATTACAGACACGCGACACTCGTCTAAGGACCAGTGCAGTTTCTTCCGTAGTCTAGTTGTGTATCCCCTATCTCTTCTTCGTACTGGTACTTTTTCTGTTGCGGCGCGCTTTTCTTCTCATGAATTTCACTGAGCAATACATGGTTGCAACATCTACTCGTATTCAGTAAACTTCTTTTTTTTTTTAAGTTAAGATTTGAAAAAATAAAATTTTAAATAGGTGGTTTTCCTCAATATTATGGGCTTTTACACACCTAAAGGAGTTCAAACATGTTTATTAAAATGTACTGCTAAAAATTGATATTCAATTTAAACTTTTTATCTAGTTTCAAAATTATGCGATACTTTTTGTGACAAGTGTATTATGATTGATTATTAATTATTTATGTTTGCAGGTACAAAAATAATTCCAAAAGGCTCCTCATGCGCGATCAGCCTCTTACATTTACAAAGAGATCCACAATACTGGCCAGATCCATCGAAATTCGATCCTTCCAGATTTTTGCCAGAAAACCAGTCGAAAATTAATCCGATTTCTTTTATGCCGTTTTCAGCTGGACCGAGAGATTGTATAGGTAATTTTGTTAGATTGTTTAGAAAAACTCAACAACGTCGCAATTTCTTCAGGTAAACCCCAGGCATTGGTAATGATGAAAGTGACCGTGGCCAACGTTGTCAGACATTTCAAAATAACGTCAAAACATAAGAGCATTGACGAATTCACTTTGGAATCTTGCCTGACCATGAAAACAAAAGAAAATCCTAATTGCCGTTTTTCTGCTAGGAATAAATTATAGAATTAGAATATTTTTTATTATTATTACCTATTCCAAAACAATTATAAATAGATAGATAGGTATTTCAAATGCTTTTTAGAGATACAATAAATATTGACGATTTAGTCTAAAATGTTAGTGTTTAAACATATTCTGCATTTAATAAATTCGCTAGAGGTGGGTTTTTGTTTGCGAGGACTTTTATTCTGTGTGTGGTGTCCAAATTTACCTTCAAGATAGAGTTAAGGAAAACATTTTACATCCAAATCTTTATCGCTTTAATTAAAAAAGTTGTATTGAATCTAAGTATTTGATAAAGAGCTGTGGCGGACACACCTATTGTTTGCCTATTGTTTCTTCGTTCGTAAATAGGAACGATCTTATATTGTTCATATTCAAATTCAGCTTCTCTATTGGAAGGTATGGCATTTGTCTGAGTAACCCTTCAACTTTTTCAGTTTCGATTTCATTTACAGCGTTTCTGTCTGAAACAGAGTAGGTATGTTGCAAATTTTCCTCCTCTAAACCAATAGGTCACTTGGTGATTTCGGTAATTTACTATAGTCAGTTAAATGAGCAACTACTCGTAATGTTGAATTTTTTTAATCTACAAGCGTTTAGTTATGACGTTTTTACATAACCATTCTTCTAGTATTTGAGTTATGTCATGAGACTCATAACACAAGTAGTGGTGTTATAGACTAGGTTATGAATTCATAACACAACTAGTGGTGTTATAGTAAAGTAATTCACTTCACACACTAGTGCGTAAAGTAATGTCAATGACAGATGTCGACACTGTCAATTTAATATTTTTCTGGTAAATTACTTCACGCACTAGTGCGTAAAGTGGAAATCCTTTACGCACTAGTGCGCAAAGTATTTGTCTAAATCTATTTTCTCACACATATTTGGTTCGTAGTAGAAAAAATTTTGTATGCAATTCGTGCGTAAAGCACCTTTTTTCAGTCATGTGATTGTCGCACTTTACACACTTGTTGCATAAATAACTATTATTAAGCAATAGCTGGTAGTAAACTAAACTAATTATATTTTCGATTCAGAAACTTGTATTTTAAAAAACATTTATTTTATTGATTAAAATACAGAGGTGACAAAAGAAAATATTCGGATCAAATTGCTACAGGCTAAAGCCAGAAAACAAATGAACGTTCCTTATGGGACGGCATCGGCTTAAATAAACATTTAATGCCGACATAGCAATTTGATGTTTACTTTACAACAATGTATTTAAAAAGTCCTAGAGGAAAGGGGTAAGCACATTAAAGCATATAAAAAATAGATAATTGATTATAAATCAGCATGGCAATTGGTTAATATAACTCCTCCCTCCTTAAGATGTTGCAAACGTGAATTCAAATCAGACAATTGTATTTTCACAAAGCATTTTTCAAACGAAACTAGCGTTGGATTTGTTATTATTTCCATATGGTTTGATGATGATATGAGCTTTATTGTCCGAAAAGTGTAAATACAATTTATCGACAAAGCCTAAAACTAAAAATAAAACAAACTAAACCTAGGCAGTAAAACTTATTAATTAAAAACACAGGTGTTGAAACAGAAACGATATATAAATAATAAATTGTAGGAAATAATAAATTGTAGGAAAGACTGGAAGAATGAACACAAAAAAAAAAAAAAATTAAAAACAGAACTGTTGATATGATAAGCAGAGTAGAAAAATGAAGATAAACAAAATCAAAATTGACCAGCAAAGTACTCTGCTAAGGTATAATATGCCTTGTCAATCAGTAAAGCTTTTACAGCATGCTTAAATTTCTTGACAGACTGTATGGTTCTCACAGCCATTGGCAAGTGGTTATACATTTTTCTGGCATTGTAAATGATAGAGTTTTTTATCAAAGTGGAGTGTGGTATAGGCAAAGGCAAATTACCAACTTGTCTGGTGTTGTAAGGGCCACCGCCCACTGTCGGAGTATGATGCCCCTTGTGCACCAAGGAAACTGTTTCCAGTATATAGAGACCCGTCATAGTAAGAATTTTATGTCTGATGAACAAAGGCCTGCAAGAGTCTCTAATACCAGCTTTGCAGATACACCTTATGGCGCGCTTCTGTAACACAAAAACGGAGTTCAGCAAATATTGGCTTGAGTTTCCCCAGAAAGGAATACCATATCTGATGCGGGACTCCACCAAAGAGAAGTACACTGTACGAGCCATACTTATATCAAGTTCACGCGACACAACCCTCACAACAAAACAGCCTGTTGCCAACTTTGAACAAAGATCCAAGATGTGGGCCTTGAAACATAACTTGCTATCTATACATAAACCCAAAAATTTAACATCTGTGCAATTTGAAATCTTTCCCGTGTCAAGGGCTATGTCAGGCAAGGAACCATTGAATTGTAAAACATTTGTCTTGGAAACATTAAGAGATAAATAGTTGGCATCACACCATAGCTTCACAAGTGCAATATCCCTAGAAATTGTCTCACTCAACTCAATAGGATCAAAACCATGCCACAATATAGTGGTGTCATCGGCAAACAACGTGAAACTACCCTTAATCCTGAGAGTGGAAATGTCGTTGACATAAAGTAAGAACAGAATAGGTCCTAGTATGGAGCCCTGCGGTACTCCGGAGCAAACAGTCAGTTCGCTCGATTCGGAACCTCGCACACCCACCCTCTGTGTTCTTTCGCTCAAGTAAGACTTGAACCAGGCAAGAGCAGTACCCCGAAAGCCATACACCTCAAGCTTTTGAAGCAGTATTCCGTGATTTACGCAGTCGAACGCTTTTGAGAGATCACAGAACACTGCTGCAGCCAGTTCTCTCTCATTCAGTCTTAGGTAAAGGTTACTTAGGAAAGAAAACACCGCGTCGTTCGTGTTTTTCCCCGCCCGAAATCCGTACTGAGCCACACTTAAAATACCATGCTTATCAATGAATGAGTTAACTCGTATCTTCACCAACCTTTCGACTATTTTTGAAAGAGTTGTTATTAATGAGATGGGCCTAAAATTAGCGGGAGATTCAGTGTCACCCTTTTTAAAAATTGGGATAACTAACGACTTCTTCAATGAGTTTGGGAAAATTCCCCTTAAGAAAGAGATGTTGATGGCATCAGCCAGAGCGCTAATTGTACAATCAGGAAGGTGCTGAAAAATCTTGAGAGAAATCCCGTCCCACCCGACTGCAGTTTTATTTTTAATATCACTGAAGATGGTCCGAAGTTCGCCCGAATCAGTTGGCCAAAGGTAGAACGAGTCGGTTATACAGGTATCCTTCAAATAATCCAACGGGTTGGTAATTGGGGAAATATTTGTAGCCAGGTCTCCAGCTATGGTGCAAAAATAATTATTGAAAACATTTGGTTCAACCGAAGTTTGGATTCCACTATTGACATTTTTGCCCCTGAGATCATTAACGATCTTCCAACTTTCTTTTTGCTTATTACTTGCTCTGGTTAAACGATCCTTGAAATAAGAGTTTTTTGCAAGTCGTAAGGTTTTTCTATAAATATTTCGGTATTTGGTAAAATATGCTAAGAAAAAGGCATTATGCGAATAATATTTCCGCACAGTATGCAAAAATCTTAGATTTCTTGCTGAAACCTTGATACCGCGTGAGATCCAAGGCTTTTTGCGTTTTTTTCTTATTATTCTCAAAGGGAAACAATCATTAAAAACTACCACTATCAGAGCATGAAACTTCTCCAGGGGGTCCTCCTCACTCAAGATATCTGGCCAGTTGACATCTAAGCAAGCATTTTGAAACCTTCTGAAACTACTCTTACAAAAAATTCTTCCTCGTTTCCCTGGCAGTACAGATTTGTTTAGAATACAGGGTATAGAACATAAAACAGCCTCATGGTCAGAAATACCTGCATTTATTACTTCACAGAAGACTTCCTCATCCCCGCTTGAACAGACATAATCCAAAATAGAGGACGAAAATTTAGATATTCTAGTAGGACTATTTACATGCATTTTCAAATTAACAGACTTCAGCAAGTTACGAAGTTCAAGGGTGTATTGGTTGTCTCCATTGTCATAATCTATATTAAGGTCGCCCGTCAAAATTACATTATAACTAGGACAAAACTCTGACAAAAGTACTTCCAGTCTTTCCACAAATAGACGCTCGCCGCACAGAGGCGATCTGTACAAACACAAGACAAAAAGATACAGTTTTTTACAAAAAATCACAGAAAACTCAAATTCTTTCTCCACAATCAAGTCGTCATACTTATTTACACTAGCAAAATTATATTTTTTAAACAACTCGTGATTTACTAAAATCATTGTACCTCCATGTTGGAGGGTTTCCCTACAATAGCATGACAACAGTTCGTAATTTTCAATAAATATTGGTTCATTGGGCTTAAGCCAATGCTCTGTTAAGCAAATTATATTGGGAAAATTACAGCTATCAATAAATACAGAAAGTTCATCTATTTTATTACGGATGGATTGAACATTTAAAAGAAGTAGGGAAATCTGACTGTCATTTAACCTAAAAAAACCTTATCACCTGAAGTATGGAGGTGATTGATTCCCTCCAATTCCAAGGCATCACCAGTCACACTCTTATTTGAGGAAGTTGTGTCTTCTGAAGGTAACAAACCAACATCACCATCACAGACACATAGTTTACACTGCGTACCTATCGATTTATTGCCATCTTCAAGGGCCACTGGTGCTGCTATTGAGCTGGGTTTAGACACCAAGCCACTACATTTCACATATAAGCTTAAAAGCTTACATAAGGAATTCTTGCCAAGCCTATAGTGGTTATTTTTTCTAAAATTTTCTATAATTCTAAGAGAGCAGTAGTTGTGAGCTCTAGAAGAACCCAAATAATTGTGTAGGTCTCGGTTTAAGACCCTGCTCTGGAGTGAATCAATATCATATCTGAGACAAAAAATGAGGTTTGTGGTTTTTCCCAAGATTCCGAGCTGTCTGAGAAGAGGTAATGCTATCTGCTGACTAATATTTAAAGCAATAATAACATGATCATTCTGATTAAATGATGTTGTCTCTTGAATAACTTTATAGCAAATCTCCCGGAGGGGTGCATTTGAACAAACAATACCTCTGATGTCATAGAGTCCGCTGTCTAGATGAACATTCAAGAGGCCAGAGCAACCTCTTGCCGCTTGATCCCCCATGACAAGAACCCTCCGTTTTCCA